ACTCCCAGCCAAACACGGTCCAGATCTACCACCAAAAATGCTAAAAATTCAGAGAAAAATTCAGAGAGACCAGCCGCAGCCTCACTTTCAGGGCATGCACAGCCACAGCAGGCAGAGGCTTTCCATAAAAATTTGTTGGAGAAAAACAGAAGGACAAATGCCTTGCTGATGCTCTTCATTCCTGGGCTGGGCAGTCCAGCACTGCGTCTGCCCACCTGGCTCCTGGGTCCGCTGCTCTGACGCTCAAGGTGTTGCCACGGCCCGCCTGCACTGCTGATACCTGCCCTGATTTGTGCCACCACAGGACCTTTGCACGGACTGATTCCCCTGCCTGAAATCTCCCCTCTGACACTCATCCCTCCTCCTGTCCCCATTGTCCCTGCTACTCTCATGTGATGATCTGTAACTGCCCACACCCTGAGCCTCTCCCATCTGCTGGGTAGATGCGACAGTCCCTAAGCTGAGATCTTTTCAGAGGCAAGCTTGACAGTGCTCTGCTCCACCTCACAGGCCTTACTCAGCCCGGAGGGACCTGGCCAAGGCAGCCCCTCTGAGGACCTCAGCTGCCGCCAGGTGTTCGCTCCAGCATCACCACACCACCCTCCTCTCGCCGGCCTCTGCCCTGCCCTTCCCACGTGCTGTGTGTCCCGTAGAACCTCCCTCTCCCTGGCTTCTCCCCTCTTTTTCTAGTTATCCTTCGTTTCCTGACTCAAGTGCTCCCCGCTTGCCTTCCGCTCAGTCCACAAAGCAACTCAAGTACTGTACACGGTTAACTGACGTTCTTGCTGCTCCGTGTAAATAATCAGGCCAGACCTAATCACAACAGCCTGGTTTCTATGATCAAGAATAATCTTTGAGGTCATGATGATCACCAGTGGGGAGGCTGTCAGGAAAATCGTGAAAGATAGCGAGGTGGGCCCCGAATGGCTAGGGTCCTCTCTGAGGAATGTGGGTGCGGTCCAGCACCCCTCTGCGGCATGAGCTGGGGCTGTGAGGGCCGCACCACCCACAGACACTCACTACTTATAACCCCGTAGAGACAGAAGGTAACTGAGGACTGACGGTAATGCAAATGCTTCTCTGCACAGATGCAAGCGAGTTTCGCCCAGTGGAAACGCAGTTACCACGGCGTGGACACCGACGGCGTCGGCATGGTCGGTGCACGCTCAGCACGCCCGCCTGTCCGGGGTGCTGCTCTCTGGACTCTCCTTTGCGCCAGTTTTTTTTACAGCTCACTGGTTTCCTCATCAGCCAATGAGCCAGATCAAATAGGGGTTATAATTCTACCCTTTAAGACAAAATTTTGCTTTAAAGTAGGCAGTTAGTGTTTCCTGAATAAATGAATATCTCCATACATAGCAGGTAGTTTCTGTTGAGTACTCAGGTGAACTTAAAAACTGATAAAAAAAAATCACACAAAGAAGACAGTTTTAAGCTGACTGATACAGGCCCTTCCAGCACCCACGGGGCACAGAGGAGTAGGACATTCATTTATTCAACAAAGATTAAAGAAATGCCTTTACGTGCCAGGCACTGGGCTAAGTGCCAGTGCGATGATGACCAAGAACAGGGCTCTGTGCCCCGAGGAAGATCATGGTCTAGTAAACAAAACGTGAATTAAATCGAATAATCATAAAACAAGCATAAAGTTACGACTGCAGCAACTTGTACTGAACTATGATTACTATGAGGAGTCTGACCTGCTCAGGGAGGCCGAGGGAAGGCTTTCCCTGAGGCACGTTTGAGTCGAGCGCTGGAGGGTAGTAGGCAAGAAGATGAGAAGAGGGAACAAGATGTGCAAAGGTCCTGTGGTGGGACGGTCAGAGCAAGCTCAATGGACTCAAAGACGCCGCTGGTGCCCTGTGGGTTGGAGCCCGAGTCAGTGCACGGGGTTATTCAAGGGCCCGTTAATCTTGCAGTTCTCCTTGTCATCACTAGATGGCAGAGACATGCTAAGATGGCAAAAGGCTGGATAGATTTCAATTTATGGAGGGTTACAGAAGTGGGGAGATCAGAGACCTGGTGGGGAAGAGTGCGAGGTGAGAGAGTGGGGGGCGGGCAGAGGCAGGGGACAGACCCCGACTGGCAACTGTTGTTTTCCTTCAGGAGAGGTCCCGTCCCTGGAGGACCTACCAGAAGCTACCCTCTGTAGAGGCCTTCAAAGTGGGCAGCAGCCACGTCTCACCTGTTTCAGTTCTTAGCACCTCTTCCCGCCACAAACATCCATCAAGCACCTACTCCTCGTGTGCTTCTGTCCTCCACGCTGTGAGTCACACACACACAAAAGAAACAGAACTTCCCTTTCTTGAGATTTTTCAAAAAAGACATGGTGAACATGCCAAAATACTGAATACAACAAA